CCCCCACGAGTATCCCCAGAGACTGTATTCCCCAGCAGTGTCATTCAGGCCTTTGTGGGGCACATCACCCAGAGGCGTCTCTGTCTTCCCCCTCCACCTGGGTTCAAAATAAAGCACTGTAGCCAGAACTGTCAGTGACAGACGGCTCGCTTCAGCCTCTGGGTCTCTGAGCGGCGATGCCTGCAGCAGATGGCGTGCAGGATGGGCTGCATAACCCAACCTCACCCGAGTGGCATTCGGGGTACCGGAGGATGAGGAATGCGCTTCTATGTTCAGCCAACAGCGTGATGATCTGTGCCCAGACCCAAGACATGGATCAGTGCCCCCTCTGACCATGAGCTTGGGGAAATTGCTCCTCAATTTTCTTATAAGAAAAGCAAGTCATTCTAATAGTGCACACCACTTAGGATCTCTGTGAATCGTAGATCGCACGGTTCCTTAAACTGTGCGCCATGGTGGGGTCTTGTAACGACTGAGTACGGGTCACATGACAACATAGGGTTTGAACACTCAGGGACCCAAAGTTCAAAACCAAGTTGGCTGCTGTCTCTGGGGTGCTCCTGGCTGCTCACCAGTGTCACAGCCTCGGTTCACTGAGCATTGAGCATGGGTTTCAGCCCCACCCTGTGAGGGGAGCTAATAGAGACACCTTACAGGAGCCCCCGCGTCTTCACAGAGAAGTCCAAGTGCCATCCACCATGCCCCTCGGACGAAGAAGGAAACCTGTGTCTTTGAAGGCGCTACGCGGGCAGTTTATCCGAGGAGTAAGCAGTAAACAGCATGGAAGTTTGCTATTTGAGGAGTGAGAACCGTAGGAGGACAGCCTAAATCCCGGACGGGAGCCTCGGCTGTTTCGTGGTTCTAATTGCAGTGAATGCCAAAAAGCTCACATGAAGATAATTGGGGTTAGGATAAATTGTGCCGTTGTCTTTATGAAGGTGATAGTAAAAGCAATGGGTATGGTATGGTTATGGTTATGGTTAGTTATGGTTATGGTAAACTTGTAGGTCACATGTCTGTGAACCTCTGCTTTCTAGGGATGAAAAATAAAACAGCCCATGGTGGTGGTTAGGCACAGCCATGCACCAATGTCTTTTGCACAACATCTTCTGTAGCACTTAAAATTTGTTATATTCCTAAAGCCTTTTCCAGCTAGTAAACAATACAAAAAGAACAGGAAAGGAAGAGAAAAAAAACCAAGAGTTACCAGGTGTCAACATGCTTTTCCGTTCCCGACTTCTGGATTACCGGAAGATCATTTCTAGTTGACTGACCCTGAGCTTCAGACCATCTGAGTTTAAGTTTGCTGTGACAAGTCCTTCAGACCTTCGGTGTGGCTGGACCGAGAGAGGCTTAGATTAGCCAGGCCTCTCTCTGGCATGTCTGTGAGGCATCTCCAGACATCAGCAGGCTGTGGGGCTCCAGCCCGGGGAACGGCCGTGTGAGCTGTGGCAGGACGTGGGTTATGCGGCACACCTTTGGATGGTGCCCTTGTCCCTTTCCCCTTACTCCTTCCTGCTTCTTGACTAGCCGGAGGGGAGCCATCCTCCTCCGCAATGATGTTTCTGCCTCACCCTGGCCCTAAAGCCGTGGGATCAGGATGACTCCCTGTTGAGAGAAGCCTTTTCCTTGTCTGCCACTTTGGTTTTTCCCCACCAGTCACCTGGGCTCTGCTGCATTGTAGTCCCCAAATAACACACAAGATGCTGTGCTGTATGAATTATGAAGCTGTTGGCCTTGCTTGTTTCTTACTGACTAGCTCTGACTTAAGTATTTACTCCATAATTGTTAATCTAAGTATTTCTCTTACCAGAGAAAAGGGTCCGGACTTCTTACCCCTATGGCAGTCCTGCTGGACTCCTAGTCCCACCTATCTTGCTTCCCTATTGGCCAACAGTGCTTTATTCAACAACCAATAAGAGACAGATTTACAGAATGGCATCTCCCATCAACTCCCCATGAGTCAGGATGAGTTTGTGCTCGTTGCTAATCATCTCCCTCTTGTGCTTTCCACGGTGACAAAAACTCTAGCGCATTTATGACAGGGACTTCATCCAAATGCTCTGCTGCTGCCGTTTACTGTTATGGAGTCACGAGGTTGTCCCTGTGGGCTGAGGCCTGCAGTGTCAACACAGGACAAAATGACGAGACGCAACCCCAGGTGTAAATGCTGCATTGGGAACTTACGTCCTTTTCTTCTTTCTTTTTCTTTTTTTTGGGGGGGGTGGCTGGTTTTCACGGTGCTTTATTGGACAAGAGAACAATGGCATCCCTGTCCTTGATTGTAGAAGGCAGAGGGTGAGGGGAAACTGAGAAGCACAGCTACAGGCAGGGCTTGTCAAGGACATGGGGAAACGGCCCTCATTCATCTGTTACAACCCTGCTTTAATGAGAATCAAAGGAGGCACTGTTCTTCTGCGTCCCAGGGAGAAAGAAAACAAAAAAAAAAAAAGTCTGAAAAATGAGTTCTGTGAAGTCAGATTTGATTTAAGGACCTGCGTTGGGAGATAGCTAAGATCCACTCTGGTGTTCTCTCTTTTCACACTGGAAAATATTTATACTTATATCCTTTGCCCTTAATTTGGACAAATAATATATTGGAAAGACAATGATAAAATAGGCTGGAGCTGAGAAATGTATACTGAGACATGTGTAGCCTTTTTTACTGCTAAATGGAACACTAGACAGAGCAAAAGACATGTTTGCCGAGTCCTTAAGAGGGTACGTAGTGTCCCTCCCCTCACCTGCGGCAGCCCCGCCCCACATACACGGTGGGTGTCAGCGTGCTTGTGTAGAAAGTGCGCACACAGAGGCCAGAGAACAGCCTCCTGGCGTAGGTGTTGGCCAGATTTAAAAATTCGAAAACGTATTGAACGTCAAATGATCTGTCTTACTGAGATACACAGTCTACAAAAAGCCCTAAAGAAAACAGCCAGCTTAACTACGTATGTTACATCCCCTAAAAGAAGTGAGTAATGCCGGGCATTGGTGGCGCACACCTTTGATCCCAGCACCCAGGAGGCAGAGGCAGGTGGAGCTCTGTGAGTTCCAGGCCAGCCTGGTCTACAAGAGCTAGTTCCAGGGCAGCCTCCAAAGCCACAGAGAAACCCTGTCTCAAAACAAACAAGCAAACAAAAAACCAAACAACAACAGAAAAGCGCGCAATCACAGCAGAGGGAAGCGTGCCCGCGTAGTGTAGTGATGACTGGGAAGGCCTCTCTGCCTCTCATTTGCCGTCCCTGCAGGAAACGGCTCCGTTGTGATCTGTTATCTTTTCATCGACGGGACTGACAGTTCCCTGCTCTGTTTCTAAACCTTCTGAAGCTGCCCACAAAAGGCTCCAACCCACAGTGCCTGCCACCCTCCAGACTCACCATTACAAAGTAGCATAAACAATAAACGAAAATGTGTTTCAAGCCCGGCTTGCTAGGCTTTGTTTTTCCCAAGCATAATTTTAAGTCCCACACAGTGTCCCCAGTGCTCCGATGGACCCCGGGATGTCACCACGCCCAATTTTCCAGTGTCTCAAACAACTGCTTGAATTTCATGGTGCCAGACAAGAGACTTGATCGTGTCTCCTAATTTTTATAGTATTTATTATTTGTACTTTGTGTGTGTGAGTGTTTTGTCTGCATGTATCCGTGTGCACTGTCATATGCATGACCAGAGCCCACACATGCAGAAGCGGGCATCAGATCCCCCCGGAACTGCAGCTGCAGGTGGCAGGAGCTGCCACATGGGTGCTGGGACCCAGACTTGGAAGAGCAGTGTGTGCCCTTAGCCACGGAGCCGTCTCTCCCGCCCCAACGTTTCCTAGTAAAATAATTACCTCGGGTAGCATGAAATTACCATAGTGACTCAGACACCAAAGCAAAGATAATATCCATCTAAATTTCAAGGTTCCACTTCAACTATATGCTTACTATTTCTTTGGGGGAGTGACTAGATGAATATTTAAATACTAAATGAACTCTTCATTACCAAACCTTCCCTAAGGAGAGAAAACGTTGCTGTGCTAGAACAAGCCGGTGTCTGGAGCACTTGGTGCAGTCTCCTGCAGGGCCTGCGCCATGGCCCCCGCAGCACCTATCAGTTCAAACTAAAACCCTTAGGCCAACTAGAGCCCCGCAGGAGACTGAGGGAGCAGCTGGATGCTTGGTGCTGACCGCTTCTCCAACCTTGATCTGGAGCAACCACTTGAGTTTCGAAGTTTCTTTAAATAGCATCTGGAATCATTAATTAATAAACTCACCGCCTTCCTCAGAGCCGGAATGGGCTTCCCTGTGGCATTTTAATTGCACGTAATTGATCGCCTTCATCGCTTACCCAAGACACGATAAAATAAGTTAGCAAGTTCTTACAGGGAACACCTTGTGGATGCGTGTGTCCTCTGACAAGAGCCATTGAATTTGTGTCAGCAGTGTCAATTCAAGTGTGAATTGAATTAGTCTCTAACCTAGTGCAGAATGCGACTCTTGAGCCTTCTGAATGTTGTGTGGTGTTATTAGCACCACCTGACACCTTTTGGCCATTGGGGAGCCAATTTACCAGGTCAGTGACCATAACCAAGCGAGTCCTCTCTTCCCTTCTTTTGAGAAATTGTTGCCATTATAAATTTATTGACGACATCTCTCCCTTCCCTTTCCTCCCTCTGAGCCCTCTCCCACAAACCCCTCCTTGTTCAGTTTCAAACTCATGGCCTCTCTTCTCACCACTGGCTACCGCGTGCACATGTGTGTACACACCTACACTCCTAAGCACAGCCTGCTCGGTCCCCGTGATGTTCCTTGTATGTTCATGCTTCCGGGGCTGACCACTGCGCAGTGGAATGGTGTGCTCGTCCCTGGGGAAGACGGTTTCTCCCGCTGCCAGCATTCCCCGGTTCCTATAGTTCCCTGTGTAGGGCCAATGCCTTCTTTTCACACAGTACATGGTACTTATTTCTCCCAGGGGTAACTGGTGTTCTGAGTAGGTGACTTGTGCTTCTTAGGGTAACTTACATGAGTGCGTGTGATTGATTGATGGCTCTCGTGGGAAGTATTAGTAGGGCTGGATGAAAGCCGGTCGTTTCATCGCCATGATGCAGTAATGCTTCTAAAGGTGCAACCGTGTTATCCGTTGCTTGCCTGTAGGTAAGTGTTACACGCATATTTAATACTGGATTGTAAGGATACCGGGTGACTGGCTCAGCTGTTGACAGTGTGCAGTGTTCTTCCAGAGGACCCGAGTTCTATTCCCAGTACCCGTGTTGGGTGGCCTGTAACTCCAGCTCCAGGGAATGCATCACCTATGGCCTCTAAGGGCTCCTGCACTCATGTAAGTGAGTTTGACCATGCATACAAACACATGCACGCACACACACACACACATACACACTTTAAAAAGAATGAGACAAATCTCTAGCTGGGCATGGTGGCTCACGCCTTTAATCAGTGCTCAGGAGGCGGAGGCAGGAGGATCTCTGTGAGTTCCAGGCCAACCAGGATTACATAGTGAGACTTTGTCTCAAAAACAAAAAAAACATGGGTAACAGGATCTACCAAATATGTAGAAGGGTTATAGGACTTCTCATGGGAATTCAAAAAGAAAAGAAAAACCTAGCAGAAGTCTTTGGTCTGCAAAACCTGACAGGAATGACCAGAAGGTGACCTCAGCTGTAACCCCCAATCCAGTGGGGACTAAGGCTGGACTGTTGCTGAGAACAGCCATGCTCTCTTGGATCTCAACTCTGGAGGGATTCCCCAAATGTCACACACTGTGAGTGTGATATCAGGGGGGACTGACACACCCCACATTGCAAGCCAGGCAGGCTCCAGTGCTGGTGCTGGTGAGCAGTAGCCGGGCTGTCCTAGGAACCCATGTGCAGCAGGAAGAGGAGGCCCCGCAGGCGGAGCCCGGACTCTGTGTGGCCGACTTCAGATCTTACAACCAGGGGCAGATGGTTTCCACACCGCCTTCCTTGCCTGCAGCTTGAAGTTAATCAGAGAGATGGCATTGATCCTGCTGGGTTATTGGGTTCCTGGCACTTAATTAAGAGGTCGATGCTGAGTTAAGGGGAAGACAGAGGCCCCAGAGGACAGAGCTGGAAAGCCAGTGCAAAAGAGGGGAGGGGCAGTGTCAGGAAACCAATGGCCCCTGGAAGTCACCCACACTGTTACTCCCATTGGTGATGGGCGCACACTCAGAATCACATTCACGGCCCATTTGTCAGGGGCCTTTCAAGATTTGAACTTGTGGCAGTGTACAAGCCACTGCCGAATTGATTTCAAGACTCCTCCAGCAAGGCTGAATCATGACTGAAAAGCAAACCAAAACGGGGCCCCTGGTTTGAAGACGTTTTCCTTAAGTCACCTGGTCTGGCTCCCTTTCGCTCCACAGAATTCCATTTGAACATCTCAGGCTGTGCGGACCCTGAACTTCAAGGATTTGTAAGGAAATAAGTCGTTTTCACAGCAGGTTCACGAACTTGCGGCATCTCACAGCCTTTACCCCCAGAATATCAGGTCACAGCAGGCAGAGGAGATGGCGCAGAAAGTGCCTTCCTGGTGAATGTATGGGCCAGAGTTTGGGTCCTAAAAGCTTGGCAGACACGGCAGCCCGCCTGTGGTCCCAGCACTCGGGATGGGGCAAGCTGACTATCCAGACAGGCTGGAGCAGTGAGCCCCGGAATCAGCAAGAGACACCGCTCAATACACGAAGTGGAAAGTCACAGAGAAAGACACTTGCGTAAGGCTTTCACACACATGCGCACAGGAATTGTTCAATCCCAGCCCCCCCCCCCCCAAAAAAAAACAATGGAAGGTTGCTCCCTCCTGCGGCCTGGTCACTTTCATCACAGCACTCTGCAGGTCTGTGTCCGCTGCATTTGGCGCCCAACCATGGTTTGGGTATCATGATGAAATTCCCAGGCTTTGAGTGTGTGTGTGTGTGTGTGTGTGTTTGCGTGCAAGAGCAAGTGTGGATGTGTACTGAGAGTGTGCACATGTGTGTGTATATGTGCATGGGCGTGTGTGAATGTGTAGTGAGAGTGTGTACGTGTGTGTATGAGCGTGTGGGTATGTGCGGCAATGTGTGTGTGGTGTGTGCTTGTGTGCGCATGTGCGCATGTAGTCCTGGCTTCCTCCCAGCTCTCCCCCCTGGGCTCCCGCAGTCCTTCCCTTCATTCTAAAATTAAAAAGCTCTTTCCTGCAGCCCTCACCTCCTGGTTTGTGGGTTTGCGCTTCCCACAGCACCCGCCAGACCATGTCTGTGCCCATCTTCTGCACTTGGAAAAGTGCCCCAGCAGGACAGGGACTTTGGTGTCATTCTGTGTGTCTAGTGCCCAGAACAATGTTAGACACAGGAAAATGACAGAAGGAGAAAGAGGCTGTCTCAGTGAGCTGCCCCTCCAGTAATCACAGCACTCGGAAGACCGGCAAACCGGCCGGCAAACTCATCACCATGGAGAGAACCCCGCGGCTACTCATTGTTTTTTCCACCAGGAAGCCTCTGGCAAAGTCAGATATAGTCTGAACTGTTTCCATCAACACAGAACTCTGCACATGGTGCCGTAATTAGGGCTTTGTACACAGTGATAATCGATAGCAGTCTGCACCCGACACTTTGCCACCCTTGGGCCGCGCATCACGTGGGATCTGTGCTTAGGGGGACCTGTTGCCTCTGTCTGGAAGCAGCAAATTCCTTCTAAAGGTTGCTGGTGAGAAGGGACGGTTCTGAAAGCCATTCCCCCACCTCGGCTTTGTACCAGATGTCCCAGTCTCCCTCAAGGTGGCCATAGCAACCACAGTGGCCACTGCACTGAATAAATCAAATTACTCTCTAACTGCCTTAATGTGGGGCGGATTCTTACGGCTATTACATCTTGTAACATGAGGGATTGTTCCTGATTTTGCAATTGTACAGGCACACAGTTATAAGGGCAAGGCTCTCTCATCTCCCAGGGGGGTCCCAGGCGTTACAGTTCAGTGCACAGTTTCCACAGGGAGACTTTCTTATGAACTATGATATACGGGTGGCAAATGATCCCGGCTGGCATTTCACTTCCCTGGCCCAGTAGCATAGAGAAAACAAACGCCATTCAAGATGGCACAACAAGTTTAGTGATCTCAACAAGATCCACGTGGATCAAAGCACAGTGTCAGACTTTGTCTTTCAAAACCCCACATGCCTCCCAGCTGCATATAGGAATTGTGATGAGTGGGCAGAAATAACCTCCCACCCTTCCTGTCGGGGGTTTTGCGTAGGGAAAGCAGGTTCCACGGTGACGTTTCACACCTGCACAGCACTGCGCTCTGCTCGGACTGGTCCCCACTGCCTCCTCTTGTCCCTGCTCCCACTGGTTCCCTTCCTCCCCCAAAGTAGTCCTCTTTCTGCTTTAGGTCATATATAGTAGGTGGATGGATGGATGGATGGATGGATGGATGGATGGATGGATGATGATGGATGATGGATGGATGATGATGGATGGATGGATGATGGATGGATGGATGATGATGGATGGATGATGGATGGATGATGATGGATGATGATGGATGGATGATGGATGGATGATGATGGATGGATGATGGATGATGATGGATGGATGATGATGGATGATGGATGATGATGGATGATGGATGATGGATGATGATGGATGATGGATGGATGATGATGGATGGATGGATGATGGATGGATGATGGATGGATGATGATGGGTGATGGATGGATGATGATGGATGATGGATGATGATGGATGGATGATGGATGATGGATGGATGGATGATGATGGATGGATGATGATGGATGATGTATGGATGATGATGGATGATGAATGGATGGATGATGGATGGATGATGGATGGATGGATGATGATGGATGATGGGTGATGGATGGATGATGATGGATGATGATGGATGATGGATGATGATGGATGATGATAGATGGATGGATGATGGATGGATGGAGGGTAATAGATGGATGGATGATGGATGGATGGATGATGGATGGATGATGGATGGATGGATAGATGGAATTCATGCCTACACATATGATAGATATATAGACAGATAGATGATAAGTGTATAATAGATGATAGATGGATGATAAGTAGATGATAGACATGTGGAATTTAGATGGAGATAAATAGATGGATAGACAGACAGACAGACGGACAGACAGAGATGTAGTTGTAGTTACAGGTCCCACTTGAAGGAAAATACAGAGTCTGTTATTCTTCTCCCCTCTGTACTCCTTCCCATCCCTGTAAAGAGAAGCTTTTTCCTTGAGAGAAGCCTTCCTGCCAACCTGGTTCCAGAGCCGCATGAGTCCCAAATAAACACACAGGAGGCTATATTAATTATGAAGCTGTTGACCTTGCTTGTTTCTTACTGGCTAGCTCTGACTTAAGTAATTACCCCATAATTGTTAATCTAAATATTTCTCTTACCGGAGAATAGTTCCGGGCTTCCTACCCCATGGCGTTACATCTTGACTCTCCGTGTTCCTCCTTCCCAGAGTTCTCCTGGACTCCTAGTCCCACCTATCTTGGTTCCCTATTGGCCAGACAGTGCTTTATTGACAAATGCACAGGACTTCCCCAACACATCCCCCCCTCATTCTTCCTGTTGTTTCTCTTCTCATCTCTCACGTGGTACAAGATAAGACCCGAAACTCTGGACCAGCTGTCAGAAGTCACAGGGAGACCAAAGAGACAGGCACAGACGAGACTCACTGCAAGGACGGTGCCAGCTCAGGCAGTGGCAGACTTGATGAAGGTACTGAATAAAAATGAACAAGTCTTACCTCTGTGCAGAATCCTTTCAAGGTGACCTCGCGATTTCCCCCCTCTTAAAAAAGGAACGTTTTAAGCACAGCTTTGAGTGTCTATTGACTGAACCGTAGCAGCCCTGCAAATACACCCTCATCTCCTTGGAGAAGCAAAAGCAGGTGAGTCTCGTGTTCCTCGGGCTTTGGTCACACACCTGGATTGTGGCCAGCAGCTTCCACAAAGGCTGACGTCACCTCGGGGGTCATGGCGAGGGGTCACACAGGGCACCCTTGCTGGGAACTGATGCACAGCTGATGTGTCACACACTCCAGAAGTTACTTACTTGTGCATTGTCATACGCTTGTGGGTAAGGTGCAGGTGTGGGCACGTGTGGAGCAGAGGGAGGGAGGGAGGTCACTTAAGGGAGACGGTTCTTTCCTTCCACCCTTATGTGGGCTCTTGGGATTGAACTCTGGCTGACAAACTTTCACAGTGAGCACTCTGACCTCCAGAGCTGTCTCACCAGCTGGAAACACTGTTGGTTTTTTTTAATTAAAATGTAAGATTATTTGAATGGGTGTTTTACTGCACCATGTAAGTGTTGTGTCCATGGAAGGCAAAGAGAGAGTCAGGTCCCCTGGGACTGGAGGTACAGACAGTCGTAACCGGCCTTGAAGGTGCTTGAATCAAACCCAAGTCCTCTGGAAGAACAACAAGGGCTCTTAACCCTTGAGCCGTCTCCCCAGCCCCTGGAAACACACTTTTTTTAATTGGCTAAGAGAGAAAGAGAGAAGAGGGATGGAGGGAGGGAGGGAGGGAGGGAAGGAGATGCTACTAGCTACTAGTTAAGTAGATCTCTGTCTTAGTGTTTCCGTTGCTGTGAAGAGACACCATGACCACAGCAACTCCTTTTTTTTTTTTTTAACAAGACAGGGTTTCTCTGTTTTGGAGGCTGTCGGTCCAGCCTGGCCTCGAACTCACAGAGATCCGCCTGCCTCTGCCTCCCGAGTGCTGGGATTAAAGGCGTGCGCCACCAATGCCCGGCCACAGCAACTCTTATAAAAGAAAACATTTAATTGGGGCTGGCTTATGGTTCAGAGGTTTAGTCCGTTATCATCACAGCGGGGAGCAGGCAGACATGGAGCTGGAGAAGTAGCTGAGAGTCCTATATATCAATCTGTAAGCATCGGAAGAACGAGACACACTGGACAGACAAGCTTACGAGACCTCAAAACCCGACTCCACAGCGACATGTTTCCTCCAAGGCCACACCCACTCCAGCAAGGCCACACCTCCCAGTAGTCCCAGTCCCCCCCCCCCCGTGGGCCAAGCATTCACACACATGCGTCTATGGGGGCCATTTCTACTCAAACCGCCGCAAACTCCAATTTGGCTTTTCCACAGACGGGCTCACGTGTCACCAGACACCCACTGCAGCTCACGACAGCAGGAGGCAGAGCCACACTCTGCCTTCCTGCTATAACCTGAGCTGTGCCGAGAACACCTTGTGGTTTCCACACATCCCTCCTGTCACCAGGTGGCCCAAAGGCCACATCTGGGCTGTCCAAATGATCACATAAAGCAGCTACAGGAAGCAATCGCCTCCCCTCCCCCAAAAGTCAACTTGATGAGCTGTGGAAAGATTGGAGCCATTTTCAGACACAGTGATCTTGATCTGAACTCTGGGGCGTGGCTGCTGCATGTGGGGAGGTGGGAGAGGTTAGGCCACTGGAAGAAGCCTGCCGTGACTGTCGTGAGCAAGGGCACTCTTCTTCAGCTGAGGAACGCGCCAGGGCTGGCTGTGGTGTGAGTTGAGAAACTCTGCTAACATACTAACAACCCCTGAGGTATCTATTTTAAATTGGCAAAGTGTATGTTACATGCACACCTTAACACAAATCTTAACTGTTCATTAAAAAAAAAAACAAAAATTAGCATAGACAAATAGTGTGGTCTATGAAAACACAACATCCTAGAACAAAGTCGTTTCCCTGTATGTGTTCAACTCTGCGAAGCACAGGCAGAAAAGCAAACAGGCTGGGCTACAACATCAGTTTCCCTACGTCTCTGTTCGCTGGCTACAGTTGCCAAAATGAGTGTGGCTTTTAAACTCAACACTGTAATTTTTTTTTTTTCAAAACAAAAGGAATGGGAGCTTCCAAACTTGTTTTCCTTCCTGGGTTCGCGGCACACGGATTCATCAGTTTAGAAGCCGTGCGCACACCTTGTTGTTTCCTGTGTAGCTGTCTTCTGTAGTCTCAGTGTCTGGGGAGCCCATGGCTAACTGCATCTGGCCTGTCTTTTTCTCTTGCTCACATCACTGAGGCCACATCCACTGAGTGAATGATCAGGACTGTGGCTAACTCACCGGACAGCCGACCCAAGAGGGTGAGAGTCTAGAATAGACTCAGTTTGTGCATCTGAACAACAGCATTGTCGTGTCCACGAAACGCACATGGGAACAGCTAGGTCTGACAACACGCCACCTGGAAAACACACTTTGTCCTATCAGATCAACTGCTGTGGTGGTTAGCTTTAATTATCAATTGGACACGCCCCAGAGTCACCTGGGAAGAGAATGCTACACTCTGCCTCTCTCTAGACCTCTTCCTTCCCTCTCGTGGTCAGGGAAGAAACCCCCAGAAGCTCACTGTTACTCAAGGTCTGACGGCGGGCTCGCCGGAGGATGGGTGAAAAGGAAGTTTAAACTCACAAATGAAGAAGGCAGGGGGAAAATATGAATCAAGGAAGCAAAATATAGAGTTCCTTGCCAGTGTTTGCTGAACATTACAAAGAACAGGAGAAAGAAACGGAGAGAGAGAGAGAGAGAGAGAGAGAGAGAGAGAGAGACAGACAGACAGAGACAGAGACAGAGACAGAGAGAGACAGAGACAGAGAGACAGAGAGAGTGAGCAGCAAGACTCCATGAAGGAGAAATGAACTGCCAGAAATATCTCATCCTCGTTGAAACAATGTCTCTCTCCCTCTCTTTTAATATGTATTCATTTTTTGTTTATTCTGAGAATATCTTGTGTACGCAATGAGATATCGCCATAACCACTCTCTGTTTGTCCCCTCAACTCACCTGAGTCCTCCCAATATGTCCTTCTCCAAACGTCACATCCGTAAACACACACACACACACACACACACACACACACACACCCTCACTAAATGAATACATTCACATGTGCATGGGTGTGGGGTCACTCACTGGAGCAGGGTGCCCTACCAGTGGCCACGCCCCCAAATAAGACTGACTCTCCCCTCCACCACCCAATTGCCAATAGCTCCTTGATTAGGGTTAGGGCCTTATGAGTTCCTCTCACCTCATGCTGAAGTTTGGCTGGCAGCTGACTCAGAGACCCATAACAGTTCATAGTGCTGATAAGGACAGCGGTGAGTCTGAGCTAGCCTACACCACACAACGAGTTCCTGTCTATCTCAGAAAACCAATGGAGACCATAGCAATGCAGGCTGAGTGGCCACGGAGCCAGCATCTGCAGGAGACACGAGAGCAACTCAACCACCAAGGGCACCGTTGACTCTTCCGTGACTGTCAATCAAGGAAATTACTATGATGGACACAAGCAGGCATTTTTGGCACTCACCGTTATTTACATAAGCAAATGTGGAGTGGAATACAGTGCCGAAGCCAGCTGTGATTTCACACTGCCTATTTCCGTAATGAGTGTTCAAAAGGCTGAGTCAATACGCCTTCCAGTGGAACATATAATAGCCTGTAATGATAGAGGGGCTCCTTTAATTATTTCAATTAAGCCCAGAACTGGGATGGGAAAAAGCCCTGACTCTTCCCTCGCAGGGTCAACAGTGAGACCCCGAAGAACAGGCTTGGCTTTCATTAGTTTGTAAAAACAAGTTATCAGCTCTGACCTGAGCGCAGACGCTTCAGATGGAAGTATGTAGACTTGTTTTCCTGAAAATGTAGATCGATGCTGGAGCCCAGAGAAATCGGCTTGCTCTGCCTGACAAAGTGGCCAGCTCGAGGCAGAGTAACTCATCCTGCCCTCTCGATAGTGGTCCTTCCGCTCTGGAGCTAAAGTAGGCAAGAATGAATACTTGAGTTTTCATTTGTTTGCTTTTGTTTCTCTTTTTTGTTGTTTTTCTCTTTGCTTTTTGATTTATGTTGAAATCAGTTCAAAATACTCTACATTTTAAAAGGTGTTTTGAATTGTGAATGATTTGTCATTATAGGTACAGGGTCTTAGCCCAACCATGGAAGGCTGAGCTGGGTTCCAGGAAGGATAAGGGCACCACTCTGATTGTCTCCCATTCCCAGCCTCCCAGGATCCAGGAGACAATCAGACACAGCGGGGAGTCTAGTCAAGAAGGAACTCCTTTATTGCCCCACAACAAGCATCCTTTAAAGCAAAAAAAAAAAAAAAAAAAAAAAAAAAGAGTGGGAAAACAGCCAGCCAACCGGTTTTAAAGTTCAGCCTATCACGTGCCTGGGTGCCCTATGCTTCACCTAGTGAACACGAGTCATTCATGCAGTGAACGCATCTGGTTCCATCTTAGCAACCAATCACTCTTTTTTGTAAACATCTCAGGACTCGCCCTCCTCACTTGCCCTTGGCGCCATCTTTAACTGGCTCATGTGCCCTTCAGTAGGGACTTCAAAGTAGCTGTCTGAACTAAAGCCAGACTCACGTGTGTCCCTGTCCTCACACAGGTTTGTGTATATCTTACATATTTTCTTATAAAGAGGCACCTGATACTATTGTACATGACTATTTTATTTAAATATTTATCTGTGTGTGTGTGTGTGTGTGTGTGTGTGTGTGCGCGCGCGCACGCGTGTGTGGGTATGTACCGGCACATGACAGCCATTGCCCGTAGAGACCAGAAGAGGGCATCAGATTGCTCGCGAGCCTCTGCAAGAAAAGTAAGAGCTCTTAACCCATGAGCCATTTTTCAGACCCCAAGGTCTGCTATGGAGATAAGTTCCAATAACTCAGTGTCTGGACGGCTCAGACGGGACAGCACAGCGTTGGCAGTGTAGTCTCCTTGCAGAGCATTTGCCATGACGCTGCTTCTTTGCCGTCCCCTTTCAACACCCATGGATCACCCGAACTTGGAAGCATGCTTATCTTCTAGAAGCTTCTAAACATAAGGAATTACACACAGAGTCCCGGAGAAAAACACCGACAGCATCCCTGCTGTTTTCTCAAGCAGCTCCCGCACGTTAGTCACGTCCTGCTTGGTGCTACCGCTGTCTCTCGCCTGGTTAGTACATCATCCACGCGCCTCCCTCTCCGACCACAGGTGCTGCCAACGCATTTGCCAAGTGGCTGGCCAAATAAGCGGATGGCTGTTACCCGCAGCTACGTATGCACTCAGGGAAGAGAAATGGAGCACATCCAACTGTACGCCTTTTCCCGGCTGAATAAAAACACAGATCCTAAGAGAAACACTCTGGGTGTAGGGTGACTCACCACGGTTTGCCCCCATACACGACTCTCACAAACCACATTTGTGAGAGAAGGAAAAAAGGGGAGCGTGTCTCTGAATTTTGCTAGAGAAGTCTTTTGTTGTTCTTATGGAGAGTGAATGGCTTGAAGGTCTGGCGAAGGTCGTTTTAATACTGGATGTGTGCGTGCACACAGACACACACACGCATGCACGCACACAGGCACAGTCACGCGAATGCACACCACCACCACGTGGCTGTATTTTTTGGGGGGTTACCTCTTCAGTGAAGCCTGACCCTTACAACGGTGGTGCCTACCTGGAGTTGTGTCCTCAGCCTGCTTCACTCCAGATGTCCCCTGCTGTCATTCAGCAATCAAATTCACTGCTATGGCATAAGCTTCCACGCGTGCGCTTGGAACCCTCTGGCTTCAGCTTCCACGCATGCGCTTGGAACCCTCTGGCTTCAGCTCCCATGCATGCGCTTGGATCCCTCAGTCCGCGGGACAGCAGCCTTGCCTTGAGCATCACAGTGGAAAAACTGCAGCCACCGCCACAGCCACCACCGGCTGTACCTCCTGGAGACTGTTACCCTTCCCTTCCACCTCGCCAGACAAAAAGAAAATGTGGGCTTGGTCCAGGCCTTGCGTCATAAAAGTACAGGGTGTGGGGCTGTGTTTGTGCGCAGCTCTTGTTTTATCTTTTGAGATATTATTTTTTTTTACTTTATGTGCATGAGTGTTCCGTCCCGTGCATGCCTGTACACCATAGAGACTGGAGGAGGGCATCAGATTTCCTGGAACTGGAGTTAACAGACGGTTGTGAGCCTCTCTGTGGGTGCTGAGAATCGAACTCCAGTCCTCTGGAAGAGCAAGTGCTCTTAACTGCTGAGCCTTCTCCACTGGCCCGTACATGACGTGTTATTGAAACACGGAAATACCCAGTCATTTGTCATCGCTATCCACAATTGCCAATATCGATCACACTTTCCGATGTGGCCTGACCCTTCATGTACAAAATGACTTGTGGGCCTCTGATTTAGATTAACAAGCCCTAACTAATTTTGTCTCCTAGGTAGCTTCCATTTACATTTATGGCATCTTAAATCTGAGCCCTGGGCAGCTCTTGCCGTTACTCCGCTCTTAACTCCGCCCCTCACTGCCCTAGAACGACACACTTACAGCACCCACGTTTGGGAGGCTGCTGAAGACGCTCCGCACACGTCCCTACGGCTCTGTTCCTCTCGTGGGCTCAGACACGGACGCTGTAGCTGGTAGGTTTTGTTCCCAACTCTCTGTCTGTGGCAGGTATCCTTAGAGACTCCGAGTCTCCCTTCAGGACAAAGAGCAGAGATCTGTTTGCTTTCCGGAGTAATAGAGATGACATCTCCCTTAAAGCAAAGCATAGGTGGGCTTGGGTGAATCCCTCCTAGAATGTTGTGGAGGGAGCTGTAGAGATAGAACCACACTTAGGAGCACTGACTGCTCTTGCAGAGGACGCGGGGCTCAGTTCCCAGCACCCCACACGGTCACTCACAACTCCTCTTCCAGCCTCCACAGGCACTGGACACACAAGGTGCACAGCCATACATGAAGGCGAGACAGCCAAACACATAAAATAAAGTTTAAAAAGTTAAAGTAATTAAACAGAATGTTGTTGAAGTTTAACCTCATGATGCCTGAACACTGTTATAAGCCTACTGTGTGTACAACACGCACATGGGTAGACTCCTGTTATAAGCCTACTGTGTGACGAATGGGAACCTGAGTACTCACACCTTCAATGGCAAGCAGAAAGCAGAGAGAGTGAACTGGAAATGAGGTGAGCCCCTCCCAATCTGCAAGACCCACCCAGCCGTGGCACACATCCTCTAGTGCCCAAACCTCTCCAAACAGCGCCAAGAAACCAAGTGTTCAGATACCTTGGTAGACAATCTCATCCAAACCCCACACCCCACTCCTTCCTCAGCCCATAAGTCTGCTTTCCCACTTAAAGAACACTTCAGGTATTATCTCCTAAGAGCAGCCATCCACAGCCAGTTCCAGTACCCTGCCTCCAGGTTCATAGATCCCCTGGGAACAACTTGATATCTGTTCCTGCTGTGGTTTTGAGAGTGTCTCCCCTGTCACGTACTGAGTACCTTGAGTAAAGAGACGATGGCTTCTTCATCTTGAAATGTCTAACAGTATAACAGCCGGATCTGGAACAACACTGAGTTCTGTTGGGTTTGATTTTGTCACTTTTGTTCTTAAGATGAGAACATTGCTTTCTTGTTCCCTTCCTAAACAGCCCCTTTACTTTTGAGATGGGATTCATCGAGACTTAGAGAACAGTCGGAAAGACTTGGGACCTTCTCGACCAAGTAGTTAATGAATGCTCTAGAGAGTTCTTACGCTTTTCCAGACCTGGTTATAGTCCCCAAACCATATTGCAATCATCAAATGATGCCCGTTATTAGTAGCAGGGGAGAAAGATGGCCCAAATTCTTCAGCATGTCACCCAGCCCGTGGCTGTCCCTGGCTCCCTGCCTGCCACGCCCCTACATTGCTCATACCCGAGTTGTCTCCCAATGTCCCGGGTCCCACATCTTTCTCTTTCTTCCCCACCCATCTTTTCGTCTGGTGAGGTGGAAGGGAAGGGTAGCGATCGCCAGGAGAAGTACAGAGGGTGGTTGCTGTGACGGGGTCTCTAGTTTTTCACTTTAAGCATGCCTCCAGAAATATGCTGAGTCATGCAAGAGCACACAGACCACGCAAACAGGCCTGCTCTGACCAGAGGGCTGTGACATCTGAAGACAACCTCAATCAGGGCAACAGGCCATCAACTCCGTGCGTGGAGAACCTTTTCTAGTTGTTTGGTAGTAGGTTTGGGAGGATGACATCATCAGATTCTTCAGGATTGTCGTGTGTGAGATGAAGGTCATGTTGGGGAAAGAACGCAGAGCTCCACCCCTGGACACCTGCAACAGCCCTCCGCCCACTGTTGGATTTGGGGACCAGGTCACTGGATCTGCTTCTTACCCTAGGGCACTTCCCAAAACTCAGGCGCCTTCCCACAGATGGCCCCACGCCATAGAGATTACCTATGGCTTAACAATGCTAACACCTACATTCCCAGAAAAAAAGCCAAGAAAAGACTTGGTGTGGTGACATTGGGCTGTAATCCTATCACTTGCAAAGCAGAGGTAGGAGGATTTCTGTGGGTTCAGAGCCAGCATGGGTTACAGAATGAGACCTACATAAACCCAAAAAAGAGAGAAGGATGAGAGGAAGAGGGGAAGGAAGGACAGAAGGAAGGAAGGAAGGAAGGAAGGAAGGAAGGAAGGAAGGAAGGAAGGAAGGAAGGGACGAAGGGACAGAAAAGGGGGACATTTGTCATCCTAGTTTCTTAAAAGTTCAACTCACAGTTTCGCTCACGTAAATAAAACAACTCAAGGCCCAGCAGACTCCTCTCCAGAGGAAGCAGGGCTCTGAGGAGTCTGAGACTGATTCCATCTGAAGCTCAGATGAGGCCACACACACACACACACAACCCCCAGACACAGTCGGCAGAGCGAATGCCATGCTGTTCACCGCAAGCTAGGGGTGTGACATTCATGAAACGGCGCAGGAGTCCCACACCAAGTGCCCTGTAGACGTATTCATGTAAATTCTGGTGAAAACTCCATCCCATCCTGTAGTTTTCCATTAAGGTCTCCATTAAGTTCATTCTCCATGAACTCCACTCAGGAAGTCTAGCTAACCCTGGGTGTGCTGTCATGGAAAGTGTTAGTGTTTTGAAGAAGTGCGTGGTGGTAGAAGGGTTACATCCTGCCCCTTACCTCAGGCTACACCATAAAACCAACCCCACTCAGTTCCCCTCCTTAGCTCAAACAGAGCTGTGCACTAAACATGAATGCATAGTGCTTCTGGGCGAGTTCATTCAAGCTGGTTTAGCGGCAGGTGGAGCTCTGTGAGTTCAAGACCAGCCTGGTCTACAGAACAAGTTCCAAGACAGCCTCCAAAGCCACAGAGAAACCCTGTCTCAAACCCTCCCCCCCCAAAAAAAGCTAGTTTACCCTTCTCTCAAGTTTTCCTTACTTCTAAGGGGGACCTCAAGATACATAACAAATCAAAGTGGGAATAAATTAAACACTAGATCTTCCTATGAGTGAGAATGGTTACACATTTTTTAAACATCAAATAGAAACATTCGACTATAAAAACAGAAAATATTTATTATATTTTTCTCTTCAGAAAAACTAGGAATCCTAATGCCTTTTTTAAATAATTTAATCTTAATAGCCGGGCGGTGGTGGAGCACGCCTTTAATCCCAGCACTCGGGAGGCAGAGGCAGGCGGATCTCTGTGAGTTCGAGGCTGGGCTGGACCAATAGCCTCCGAAACAATACAGAGAAACCCTGTCTCGTAAAACCAAAAAAATAATAATAATAATTTAATCTTAATAGCATTTTTGTTAATTCCTTGAGAATTCAAAACCACACACATACCCCAACTCTCCCTAGAGCCACCCCGTCTCTCTGCCCACCCCACCTGGTGTCTTTCTGCTGTTACTGTTGAGCCCTCTGAGTGCAGTTTGCATTGCCCAAATATTGTTGGGTGTGAGGTCATCCCCTGTGATCAACATGACAGGAATCAAATCAGAAAACTCCCTCTCCCAGCAGCTCCATTTTAGACAGAGACTTGGTACCCACCTCTCCATTCTAGGCTGGGATTTTTGTCTGACTTCTATTTTTATTTTGGATAAAAAATCTTATATCTAATTAATTTTTTAATATAGTAGGGGAAGCTCTCAGTATGACTATGGCAAAAAAAAAAGCACTGTGGTGTATTTTAAGGGGATCGTTAGTGACAGGCACACAGACCGAATCGCTATCTATTTCCTAAGAATTAGCACTTTGGGAGAGTTCAGAATCATAAAAACCTATCGATGTGTTGAGCATCAACATTCTGAGAAGCAGCAGCTCTCAGTGGGGGACTTAGTGCAAGATGGCCAAGTGACTTCCAGCAAAAAAAAACCGCAACTAGAGGGGACTCTCACATTCAATTTGCAGGCTCAGATTTCTCCCCAAATGCCAGGGGGATTCAGTTAATCTGCAAGAGATTTTGGTGTTAATCCTGCAACATTTATTGGCCCCTCTCCGGGACTGTTTTAGACTCACTTACTTTTAGTTGTCAGCCTCACGGGTGCCAGAAGTTTCCGCAGAACATCGATGTCATGCTTGGGTAGGGCACAGCTGCAGCCTGGTTTGTTGTGGGTTGTCCCAGGCACCCAGGCACCACCGGCTGTGCCCGAGGTGACAGGGGAGTGTCCTAGGCTGGCTGTGATTTCCTTGAGTGCTGTTGTGGAGCTGAGCCTTGTCTAACCAAAACCAAGGTGCAACAGCTACTGTGTCCAGACAGCCACGGTGTGGAAGCCTGTGCTTTCCCGGGGGCCAAGGAGCTTGTTCTAAATGTAGGGATTAGAATTCAGGTAACCTCCTCTTAGCAAAGCTTGTTAGCAATTGAAACTTCTGTAGTTGTGCTGTCTTCCTAGGGAGCCCCACCGGGCTGTCTACACCACACTGCACTGACTCTTAATCCGACCCCAGCCCTGGGCTGCCTGTGACCAGGAGTCTGCAGCGCCTCAGCAGAGCCCCTTCTGAGGGGTGCTCACTTCCTTCTGTGAGTGCGCACTAGTTTACGCCAGTCTTCATCTCTCAGATCACCACCACATCATCGTCTCCAACTACCTCTTCCCTCTGCGGAGGATGGTCACTTTAAGACATCTGGGGCTAGGAGCTGACTTCACAGCTGTCTTTGGGCCCTGCTATCTTGGGATCCTTGTTATGATTCTGTGTGAGGGGGACCATGGTAGGAGTGACAGACAAACAGGCCACGCAGGCAGAGCATACTGGGAAGTTTTGTTGGGGGGAGGGAAGGGAAAGAGGGGGAGAGAGAAAGGAAGGGGGCAGAGCAGCCTCCTGGGAAGAGGGAGGGGAGGGAGAGGAAGGAGAAGGCAGAGCTCTGTCTTTTAAAGGGACCACACAGCAGGCCAGGCTCGTGCACAGGGCTGACCACTCTGCTGGGTCCCCAAGGGGTGGGGCCCAGTGTGCCTGGATACTAACAAGGGCCATTTTCTCTTTTCTCTCTTTTAAACATAATTCCTTTGTTGGTTCTTTGGCCATTTCACGTTATGCACCCCAACTCTGCTTGCCTCCCAGTCCCCCCATATCTGACCCGTGCTGTATCTCTCCCAAAACAAAAACACTTGGGAGAATAAATAAAAACAAAACAGACAAAAATCCCATTTCTTTCTTTTTTCTTTCTTTTGGTTTTTTGAGACAGGGTTTCTCTGTGTAACAGCTCTGGATGTCCTGGAATTAGCTTGGTAGACCAGGCTGGCCTCAAACTCACAGAGATCCTCCTGCCTCTGCCTCCCAAGTGCTGGGATTAAAGGCGTGCGCCACCGTCCAGCCAAAAACCCTCTCTCATTGCTGGTTTTCTGACTTGAGGCTCTTCTTTTCCTCTTCGCAAGGGTCCTGCAGTATTGTGCGACTTGTGCCCGGGTTGCGAATGTTTTCCAAAGTTTTGCTTTTCGGGTTTCTTTTACCTTTAAATTCACAGGGTGTGTATCTTGTTACTCTGACAACAGACCTGATTTTTTTAAAAGTGGCGTGAGGAGGGGAGGGTTTGTCTGTGCTCCTGGTTTGAGAACCACTTCATTATGAGAAGGAAGGCGTGGCGGCTGAGGTGTGAGGAAGATGCTCGCATTATATCAACCAACCATCTGATGCAGAGAGAGAGGAGTCCTGGTGCTCAGCTCTCCTCAGGACCCCAGCACATGGGGACGGTGCTGCCCGTGTTCAGGGCAGCTCTTCCCTCCTAGGTTAAGACTTTCTGGAAACCCCCTCCCAGACACACCTGGGTCTCCTGGGAGAATCCAAACCCCATTGTGCTGGCACAAAGTCTTCGACACCCAGCGAGTGCATCCCTGAGCTGTTTGCTGACACCAAGCGTGTTCCCTGGCACAGACAAAAAGCACAATATCTCCTCCTTCCAAGCTCTTCCCCGCACTGGGTTCTGCTCGGTGGACCAGGGACCTGGATGGCAAGAGCAGCTTCAAAGCAAGGATTTAGGGCGCTCAGTCAGGCTGACAAGAAACTAGAAAATGTCCTGCTTATATCTGATGCTATCGATGTAACAGTTGGTTGTTTTTATCCATAGTCAGTGACAGGGCAAACCAGGGTAGTCCTTTGCTTCTTAAAAGAAAATAATTGAAATAATTATGGCTATTCATAATCAAAGACTGCAGGTTTTATTGTAAATTCAAATTAAACCTAAACTTCTAATTTTTTTATGAAGCACAATCTCTGTAATATAGCCCTAGCTGTCCTGGAACTCTCTATGTAGAGGAGGCTGGCCTTGGACTCACAGAGATTTGCCTTCCTCTGTCTCCCGAGTTCTGGGACTAAAGGCGTGTGCCGCCACACTCAGACCTGGACTTCTAATTTTTAAATTTCAGTGACCTGGACTTCTGTTGTCACAGACACCAGAGATTCATCTGCCCCAGGACCGTGAGGTAGCGGCTTGCCCATCCATCTGCCTTCTGTCACTGCCCATATCATGTGCTTAATATCCACAGCTTTGTCATGAAAATACCACGCCTAACACCTATCACACGGTGACTGTCCCTGAGCACAGGCATCTCGGATGGAGTGGAAGGGTAGGAATGTCCCCTTTTTAATTTATAGAACCACATCGCTTACTTTCATGTCCACGGATTATGCATTATTATTATTTTTGTTTTTGTTTTTCGAGACAGGGTTTCTCTATTGTTTTGGAGCCTGTCCTGGAACTCCCTCTGTAGACCAGGCTGGCCTCGAACTCACAGAGTTCCACCTGCCTCTGCCTCCCGAGTGCTGGGATAAAGATGTGCGCATGCATTAATTTTAAATGGAACCGATCCTGCTGTGCTTCATAACAAGGACTACCATGGGTCACCTCCGTAGTTTGAAACAAACGAAACGAGCAAACGTGGGCCAGCGAGATGATGGCTCAGTAGCCAGCCACTCACTGCCAGACCTGACGACCTGGGACCCACAACCCACAAGGCAGAGGGAGAGAGCGGTCTCCTGAAAGCTGTCCTTCGGGCCCCCACCCCGGCACCCAGGACACCCGGGCGCGCACACACACACAAACACACTTAAGTGAGCAAAACGTAACTTCTGAAGGCCCAAGGCCGTCTGTGCTGGGGACTCATTTATGATGTGCGGTATCACCGTTGTTGCAAGCTGCGTGGCTCAGGTTCCCTACTTGTAGTCACGCAGCGGGCCTTTCTCCAGAGCCGAAGGTCAGAAGGTGAGGTCCCAGCATCACAAGGACGTTCATAAACACACAGGCACACACCACCACTGGCGTAATCAGCACCTGCACGGGGCCTACAGCTCCAGGCCGGGGGTTTACGGGGACGCAAAGAGACTGAGGCTGTCTGCCCATCTCTGTGTTTGAATCCCACAAGGACACGAGCCAAAGAGAACCTTGGAGACCCGTCCTTGGACCACGCTCGGGGTCCAAGTTCTGCTCGGCATCCGGAGCCAGGAGCAGCTGCCGCTCGCTCCTTGGAGCCGCGCAGGTCGTTCCGCATGAATCTCGAGCAAGCCTTTTCAAGCCCACTCCACCAAACACTGCAGACCGACTTCTCCAGAAACACGGAACCTCGTCTAAGGCTGCTGTGCGCATGCACGCCCCGGGAGCAGGTGGACATCAGGGACAGCTCTGTGGGGAGGTCCCAGGGCCTGAAGGTTGTGTCCCCAAGGCACGTGTCTGTACCCACAGAGCAGCCTCGCTGGGCTGGCCCTCAGCCCTTTCCCTTTGCTTTTTAAAATTACTACTATTATTATTTTTAAATCTTCCTTCCCCTTCCACTTACGTGATCTCAAAGTCTTCCTTTTAAGTTGCAAACTTTGTAGTGCAGCAAGGATGTGGCCGTCATCTCCGTGTGTCCTGGTATTGAATGCGCGTTTTCCTAGCAAGTGCTCGTGGGATATGTCCTTCTGTCCTAGAGCTATAATTATAGAAATTATAACCCTGCCTTCCTGTGCTCATTTTTATTATTTTCCTATAGATTTTGTGCATCTGTTTCAACCTCCGCCCTGTGTTTTACATATATTCTGGTATTTTCTTTGTCTTTTCTCCCGTCCTTCTCCCCCGCAGCACACATTTATGGTCCTGCGTTCTTCTATTACTATTATTAATTGGTTTGTGTACAAAGAGACAGGCTTTGCTGTGACCGGTTCACAGACACACATACCCTTAGGCTCTTACTTGCTCCTCCCCATCCCCCGATTTCCTTTCCTTCCAGCAAAAGCCCCTCCCCCTCTGAGATTGCAACCAAGTATAACTATTCCATAGTTCACAAAGTCGTTTGACTTTTACTCACCCCAAGGGCTGTGTTGAGTAGCTGAACCGAGTCAGGCGTGTTTAGCTCCAGCGAGAGGAAGAAAGACTTGGCCGTAGAACAGAGAGCAACAATTGTGTTGGAAAACGCTGAGAGATAGGTGCTCCAGCTGAGTGCGTCTCATTTCATCTTCTAACTGCTCCGTCAACCAGGTTCTGTTTTCATCCTCGATTTGCAGTGGGGAGAACTCAAGCTTGTGGGGTTTCACATAAGAAAGCCAGGGCCAGCGCGATGGCCCAGTGAGGGAAAGGGCGCGTCATACAATCCCGGCAGCCGGAGTTGGGGCGCTGGGATCCAAGGATCGAGGATGGAAAGAGTTGACTCCTGAAAGTTCTCCTCTGGCCTCCACGGGCACGTGTGTATGACACACTCCCACATGTCACCATGTTAAAGCACACAAATAAAATAAAACGTTTAAGGAACTCAGAGGAGCCCCTGGTGAGGGGAGTGTGGGGCAGAATGCAGAGAGGAAAAGCCAACGTGACAAAGGCGGTGGTTAATTGGTTAATTCGGGCTTTCGCTTGTGTTGAGGGGAAACTTGGGGCCGTGTAAACACGTGCGTGGCCCACAGTACCAGACTGAAATCTGGAGTTCAGAGCAGGTGAGGGCAGGAGGTGGCTGGAGAGGTGTCAGTTGGCGGAGATGCCGGGATAGACCACACTATGAAGCTTGATGAGTGACATCATTCTGTGTTAAGTGTGGAGAGCCCAGCTTCGGGGGAGGGCAGACGCCGGAGTTCACCAAGCCACAGGAGATGGGGGAGGCCGTGTGCCCAGAGCCTCACAATGGAAAGGGAGTTGCCAGCGCTGACATTCACAAACAAATCGAACCTGCGCAGTCGGAGTCCTGAGGAGTGTTTGTGGAGCAGCGGCCAAGCGTGAGTCACGGCTGACCTTGCTCAGAGTCACCTCTGAAACGGGTGGGAATCCCATGACCCTGAGTTGAAATGGTGAGTGGGAAGTCGGAGAGGAGCTCGGGATGCCGTGGCAAGGTGACCCATGGGAAAGGAGAAGCCTCTCCCGGTATGGCTCAGGTCAGGGAAGCCGGTGACCCCGCCCAACAGATAATCAGCAGAGACGGAACAGCTGTGGGCAGCAGGCAGCTCGTGATGGACGGCGCGTGTGTCCGGTGTGGCTCAACACAGGAACCCGGGGCCGACAGAGAAGGCTCTGGAGAAGCCGGGCTGCATTCAGAGCACAGAGAGCTCTGCTTGCCCCATCGCGGGATTTGAACTCTCTCTGATAACACCTGGGGAGGTTTTCAAGCGAGTGTCAGGGGCTGTGTCACCAGCATCGTGTCACTTGTTTATTTTGGTGCTAGCATTGAACCGCCGGCACAAGTTAGCAACCGCTGTATGGTGCAGCTGTGCCCCTCACCCTCCTGTGATGTAGGCCGCATGTCTCACACATGTGGGTTCACATGCAGTCCC